CCTATTAGATCAGTGGTAAAGGCTTATACAACCAAGTCCTTCACTTACATATATCGTATGTTCTCTTAACATCTTGTTATCTGTTGATGTGTAGCCCTGATGATGGGAGAAAGAGAAGAGTCATTTAGCTTTCTATCACTTGGTTTTAGTTTGGTTGAAAAATGCTTCAGAAATAACAGCACTAATGTAGTTCTTCATATGCCTTATGTGAACAGTGGTTTTGTATTCTCACATCTTCCCACGTAAAATACCCTGACTTGGGAGATATCCTTTGTTTCTACTTGAACATCCTTATGTGTATATGGATTTAGATAAATCTAGTGCATTTTTTTTTTTTTTTAGTGACTAACCATAAAACAAGGAGCCTTTTTTTAAAGTTTCTAATAACTGAGAGTTGGTACATTTATATGTAGGCACAAAGAGTGGAGATATTATGTGTATATGTAAATTATATATAATATATACAATTACATATATGTAATATATCTTATATATACATATATTTTAAATGCAGGTTTCTCATTTTCCACTGCAAAGATTAAGGTAGGATCATTGGCTTTGTCAATGAAATGGTTCTTGAAGTCCCTTTTAGGTAGTTTTATCAGTGGTAGATAACAGATTCCAGGGTGCCAGTAAGTGGTGAGGAAGCAGAGACAGCAATATAGACAACTCCTAGAGACTGGACGAAGGAAAGGGAATAACAAGGAGGGTCTGGGAAGGAATGATTTTGGATTGTAGAGACCTGAGAAGTATTAATTGGTAGAATGGAGGAACCTATGGAAGGGTGGGATTGAAAGTTTGAGAGGAGGGAAGGAAAGAGATGGGTAAAGATCACTTGGCTTTTACTCTGGAACTTTTCTCTAATCCTATATCAAGATGTTAAACCTCAAATTTAAATGAAGTTTTCCCTCTAAATCATAGTGTGTCAGTGCATCGATATGTTACATTTCTGTGTGTCACATGTATCAACACTTTGTACAGTATCTTTTCCAGGCCTTGATGATGTTAGTGGCTTAAGCATTTATTCATATTGTAAATTTGGGGTTTGCAAGAATTGTTACAGGGATGTAATTAATCATTTATACAATTTTCCTAAATGTTAAGGCTCCTTATTATTAGGGCATAAGGAAAATGCTCTCTGTTGCAGTGACTCTTGATTTTATTTCATTCTGTAAGCCTCTAACATTATAGATATTGTTTGGATATATCACAAAATATCAACATACGTATATTTATTACTTGCCTCTGAAGAGTTTTATTTGTCTCAAGAATTATTAGTAGTTTGACATGGTGGTTTCATTTTGCCCTAAAGTAAAGGTGTACTCACTTTGATGTTTAAGAGAGCTACTAAGCCCTGGACTGTTTTGCTCAGTGGTTAGAGCGGCAGCCCACAGACCAAAGAGTCCCGGGTTTGATTCCCGCTAAGGGCACTTACCTTGGTTGCAGTTTGTCCCCGGCCCCAGTTGGGGTCATGTGGGTGGCAACCACTCAGTGTGTCTCTCTCACATCAATGTTTCGCTCTCTCTCCTTCTCCTTCTCCCTCTCCCTCCTGCTCTGTCTAAAGATAAATGAAAAAATGTCCTCCGGTGAGGATTTAAAAAAAAAAAAAAGAGCCACTAAATCTCCAATTTTTTCTTCACTTTTCCACTGATCTGATTGATCTGTTGAATTTTTGAAGGTAGAATGGTGTATATTCTGGAAGAGTATGTTTTACTTTAAAAATAGGGTTTTTGTCCTAAGAATAGATACATATTTCCTTCAGTCTGCTTTTCCAATCTAGAAAAGTGGCTTGAAAATGTTTGCTTTGCTACCTAATATTGAAAAGTTTTTATAATAGTTTTTAAAAAGTAATGCACCTAAAAAAGTACTATACGTGAGCGTGCTCATTTACAAAAAATAGGTAGCACAACAGAGTACAGTATTAAAGTTCACTCCACACCAGCCCGGCTGGCGTGGCTCAGTGCTTGATTGTTGACCCATGTACCAAGAGGTCGCTGGTTCGATTCCCAGTCAGGGCACATCCCCTGGTTGTGGGCCAGATCCCCAGTCTATGTCTCTCTTCTGCTCCCTTCCTCTCTCTCTCTCTGAAATCAATAAAGAAAAATTATTAAAGTATCTTACTTTTAAAAAAAATTAGTTCAGCCAGTGTGGCTCCGTGGTTGAGCATCGACCCCTGCACCAAGAGGTCACCAGTTTGATTCCCATTCAGGACACATGCCCAGGTTGTGGGCCAAATCCCTAATGGGGGGCATGCAGGAGGCGGCCAATTGATGTCCTCTCTCATTGATGTTTCTATCTCTCTCTTTCTCTCACTTCCTTTCTCTCTAAAATCAATAAAGGGGAAAAAAAAAGTTAAAGTTTACTCCACACCAGCCTTACCAGCCCACCCCATCTCTTCTCCTTTGAGCATAGGGGTTACCCCTGTTTACAGATGTTTATCCTTCCACACCATTTTTGTGCATATACATTATATTTCATACAAATAAAAGCAACTTGGTGAGGTTGTTTGGTTTTGCTTTTTACATAAATGAGATCTTGAGATTGTTTTGCAGCTTGCGTTTTTTTTGTTGTTGTTCACTTAACGCAGCGGTTCTCAACCTGTGGGTCGCGACCCCTTTGGGGGTTGAACGACCCTTTCACAGGGGTTGCCTAAGACATAACAGTAGCAAAATTACAGTTATGAAGTAGCAACGAAAATAATTTTATGGTTGGGGGGGTCACCACAACATGAGGAACTATATTAAAGGGTCACGGCATTAGGAAGGTTGATAACCACTGATTAACAGATCTTGGTGAGTTCTCAATTCAGTGCAGATAGATTCTCCTCTTTTTTTTTTTTTTTTTTGGTACGGCCCCTAGATGGAACCAAACCCAGGACTCTCTGGTCCACAGGCCAAAGCTCCAACTGCTCAGCCAAACCAGCCAGGGTTCTCTTCATTCTTTTCTTTTCTCTCTCTCTTTTTTTTTTATCCTCACCAGAGGGCATATTTTCAATTTTTTGTTCAGATAGATTGGGAGGGAGGGAGAGAGAGAGAGACAGACAGACAAAGACATCGATGTGAAAGGTATACATCGAATGGCTGCCACCTACACGACCCAACCAGGGCCTGGGACAAACTGCAACCGAGGTACGTGCTCTTAGCGGGAACCGAACCCAGGTCTCTCTGGACTGCAGGCGGACGCTCTAACCGCTGAACCAAACTGGCCAGGGCTCTCTTCATTCTTTTTAACCACTGTGTAGTGTCCCATAATACAGATAATTCATTTCAGATGTACAGCATAATGGTTAAGACATTAATATAACTAACAAAGTAATCCCCCCCCCAATAAGTCTAGTACACACCTGGCACCATACATTATTATTACAATATTGTTGTCTATATTCCCTGTGGTGTACTTTATATCCCATAACTATTTTGTAACTGCCAGTTTTTAGCATTGTAAACTATCATTGTTGAATACCTGTGTACCAGTATCTTTTTTTTTTTTTTATCCTCACCCGAGGACATTTTTCCATTTATTGTTCAGAGAGAGGGAGAGAGAGAAACATCGATGTGAAGGGACACATCGAGTGGCCGCCACCTGCACGACCCAACCAGGGCCAGGGACAAACTGCAACCAAGGCACATGCCCTTAGCAGGAACCGAACCCAGGTCTCTCCGGACTGCAGGCCAACGCTCTAACTGCTGAGCCAAACCGGCCAGGGCTGTACCAGTATCTTTATATACAAAGTTGGGTGTTTTGATCAGGTAACATGAAACAAAATGTTGATAAACTTTTAGAAAATTAGCTCAGTTCTAACATTGGTGGGAACAGCTTGGGAAAAGTACCACCTTCTTCCCCTATCTCAGGGAGCTCCAGATCTTCCTTTCACATTGCTTCCTCTCATGGATTTCATCAGTCTTAGCCATCCAGTTTGAGAGTGGGCACTAGGAAGTGACTACCTTATTATCTCCTTCACTACATTTCTGTTTGTCTTATTGGTACTGTCCTATTTGCTTTCCTTCTACTTTTAAGGAATCTATATAACATACTCATTAACTATGCTTAACTTTTTTTTTTTTTTTTTTTGGCTTATTGAGTCCAAAGGACTCTATAAATCCAAGGTAATACAATGTAACTTCCTTTTGCTACTATCTAGGGGTTATAAGAAAAATGGATACATTGAAATATGTTTAACCTAGGTATTTTCAACTTTTTCATATCATGGCGCACAAAAACTTTTACTGAAATTCTGCGACACACCAAAAAATACATTTTTTTTGCCGATCTGACAAAAAAATAGTTACAATTCTGATTTATTCACACCGGACACTATTGTTGCTTTGGCTGTTGTCATTTTTTTATTTGACAGTCTAAGGGAAAAGAGGTCAGGGCCCCTGAATAAATAGTCAGATATTGCATGTCTTAAAAATTTGGGGGGCACAACAGTGTAGTGTGCTACTTTACACCAGTTGAAAATCACTGGTCTAACCTATTGGCCAGATCAGCCATAATGCAGTTTCTTCATATTAAATATACTTTCAGGTCACATTTCTTAAGATATTAGTATGGCTGTTTTGAGAGTTTGGTTAGAATAGTGGTTCTTAATCTGACTCCTTTTTTTCTCTTGCCCCCCTTTCTTTTTTCTTTGTGATTGTCTTTTTAAAATATTAAGAATTAGAGGTGGAATGTAGTGGTTGTATTTTCTAAAAACTCTCCAGGTGATTTTAGGATTTATTCTGGATTGAGAACCACTGTGATAGAAGCTATGCTGATGTTTTAAAAAATTTTACATATAAAATATGAGCCCTTAGCCCTGGCCAGTTTGGCTCAGCGGTTAGAGCTCGGCCCGTGGACCAGAGAGGCCTGGGTTTGGTTCCCACTAAGGGCACGTACCTCAGTTGCAGTTTGTCCCTGGCCCCGGTTGGGGTTGTGTGGGTGACAACCACTCGATGTGTGTCTCTCACATTGATGTTTCTCTCTCTCTCCCTCCCTCTCTCCCTCCTGCTCTATCTCAGGATAAATGCAAAAATGTCCTCAGGTGAGGATTAAAAAAAGGTGAGCCCTAACACTAAGTTGTTCCACTAGTGACATCCTGGAGAAGGTGAAGTCTGTCCCTGGTTTAATCTACGAATTTTTAAGACAAGGTAATGCATTTAACTTATATGTGATGCATTGTTCCCCTGTACTGTAACTTTGTGTTAGTTTCCTAGGGCTACTGTAACACATTACCACAAACTGGGTGGCTAAGAGGACAGAAATTTATTCTTTCATACTTCTAGAGGCTAAAAGTTAGAAATCAAGGTTTTGGCTCTTTGGGAGGATTCTTCCTTTCCTCCTCTTAGCTTCTGGTTTCTTGACTTGTAGATGCGTCACTCCAGTCTATGCCTCTTTACATAACATGGCATTCTCTTCTCTGTGTGTCTTTGTCCAAATCAGTCATTGGATTGGAGCTCACCCTAATCCAATATGACCTCATTTTAACTTGATTACATCTGCAAAGATCCTATTTCCAAATAAGGTCACATTCATAGGTACCAGGGATTAGGACTTTAGCCTATCTTTGGGGAATGCAATTCACCCACAACAAGCCTCTTGCCTAATAACCACATATGGGAAATGAATAAGAGAAATTGAAACTGCAAAAACTTATTTAATTACAGGGGGAAAGCATTCAGAATTCATGTTCTGATGAAGGATTGGTCAAAATATGAAAGCCTGGGAAAATCTTCCCCTTTGATTTTTAATTTTACAGTTTTTTCTTTAAGACCATAACCTCTCTGGATGGTACTATGGGGTAGAGTATGCCAAACAGGTTACTATTCTGAAGTTTCTCTGTAATTTTTTGGTCACATTTTTCAGTAAAGTGTTCCAGCCTTGCCCTTGTTCTTTAGAATCACCCGTTACTATAGAGATTTTGAAAGTATGGAGTAAGGCCTTGGAATCTGTACTTATAGTACTTCAGGTGGTCCTAGTGCCTGGGAAAGTTTGGCATGGTAAAGCAGTTCATCACTGTATCATCTGAATGGTTTGATCTTTGATGGGGATTTGAGATTGAGCCTGGATATGGGAGATGGCTTGGTGCTGTGGGCCAAGGACACTGCTCAAATGTTTCATTGGCTCCTAATCTGATGATCATCAGAATCATCTGAGAAGCATTTAAAACTACAAGTTCCTCGATTCAGCTTCAGAGATTCTAATTCAATAGGGAAAACTTTTTCAAAGCTTCCTGGGCGATTCTAATAACCAGCCTGGTTTGAAGACCAGACCATTGATGTAGTACAAAAAGTAAAGTATTAGAGTCAGTATTTAAATCTTGGTTCTTTCCCTTTTAAGTCTTATGAACTTGGGCAAAAGGATTAAAGTTCTACTTTGGTGTTTTTTTATTTATATTTTATTTATTATTTTTCTTTATTGTTGAGAGTATTACAAATGTCCCCCATCATTCCCCGCCCCTTTGCACCTGGAGAAACATCAATATAATGTGGGGGGGGGTTTTGTTGTTAATCCTCACCTGAGAATATTTTTCCTTTTTTTTTTTTTTGGATAGAGTGGAAGGGAGGGAGCGGGAGAGAGAGAGAGAGAGCAACATTGATGTAAGAGAGACACCTCAATTAGTTTGTCTCCTACACAACCCCAACCAGGGCTGGGGTTGGAATCTGCAACCCAGGTACATGTCAGTGACCAGGAATCAAACCTGAGACCTTTTGGTCTCAGGCTGATGCTATAACCAGTGAGCCAAACCGGCCAGGACTCCATTGATTTTTAGCGAGCGTTGCCTTCCGCACCTGCCCTGAACAGGAATCAAACCCACCCCTTTGGTGTACAGGACAATGCTTCAACTAACTGAGCCATACTGGCCAGTGCCCTTTGTTTTTTCAAAGGGAAACTACTTACAAGGTGGATGTTTAAACTGTAATTCCTTGTCAGCCTACAATTAGATAAAGGAAATGGGTGAACATTTCTCACCATAAAAATGGAAAGTCTGATATTCTACCATACTTATTTTATAAATAAGTAATAATATTTGGGGTTATAGAAAATCAATATTTTAACTGGGTGTGAGCTTTTTAAATTATTAAGCATACTGCCTCTTGAATTAACTACCTTTCTTTTTCTTTAAGATCTGATTATCATGGACCTGCGACAGTTTCTTATGTGCCTGTCCCTGTGCACAGCTTTTGCCTTGAGCAAACCCACAGAAAAGAAGGACCGCGTACATCATGAGCCTCAGCTCAGTGACAAAGTTCACAATGATGCTCAGAGTTTTGATTATGACCATGATGCCTTCTTGGGTGCTGAAGAAGCAAAGACCTTTGATCAGCTGACACCAGAAGAGAGCAAGGAGAGACTCGGGTAAGGTGTCAGCTCTCAAGGGTCTAGTTAGGATAATGACATTTCTTTATAAGTCAGCTCATTCTTTTTTTCTTACTGACTCAGTCACCCAGTAAAGCATTGTTGAACTACATTTTATGAAAGCTAATCACAGAGTTGCTACCACTAAAATTTAATTAACACTTGCTATCATACATTTCTCCATTGAATAACTGTTTTTACCTCACTCTATAAAGCAAAGTCATTTTTGCATAAAAGTGCCAAATATTAAAGGACCCAGCTTGATCCCAAAGGAACATTACCTAGTAGGGGAAGTAATGGGGGTGGGGGTGCTTCTCATCTTTGCCTCTTTTAATTTTTTTTTTCTTTATTGATTTCTGAGAGAGAGCAAGGGAGAGGGAGAGAGAGATAGAAACATCGATGAGAGAGAACATCGATTGGCCGCCTCCTGCATGCCCCACACTGGGGATCAGGCCCACAACCTGGGCATGTGTCCTGACCGGGAATCAAACCGGTGACCCCTTGGTGCATGGGTTGACGTTCATCCACTGAGCCACACCGGCCGGGCACCCCTTTTAATTTTTAAAAACCATTCCTGACCTATTCACTGTTGCCCACGCCAAGTGTTTAAGTGGATAATAAACTGCAAATTAAACCTCTGGACTAACTTTTATAAAGTTTATGATTTCCTAGAATGCCCCTCGCCTTCTTTGTTTTCATTCTCTGAGAGTTGCTTAATTAAAAACAAAACCAGCTCTGGCCAGTGCTGTTAGAGCACCAAAGGGTCTCGGGTTGGATTCCCAGTCAAGGGCATGTACCTGGGTTGCAGGTTCATTCCCCACCATGGTTGGGCATGTGCTGGAGACAACCAATCGATGTGTCTCTCACATTGATGTTTCTCTCTCCCCTTCCCTCCTTTCCTTCCTCTCGCTCTAAAAATCAATGGAAAAATATCCTCGGGTTAGGATTAACAACAACAAAAAACCAATCTTGCCTTTTAGAAGATTGTAAAGGTAATGGTCTTAATGTCAGAGTGTGAGTTGCTGTTTCAGTAACAACTGGGCCATAGTCAGGCTCCATGGCTCTCTCAACCAGTGTCTTTTTACCTAAAGCATTGATTTGGTAGAGTGCCAGTTGATTATTTCTTTTTTTTTTTTATCCTCACCCGAGGATATTTTTCCATTTTTTGAACAGATAGAGTGGGAGAGAGAGAAACATTGATGTGAATGGACACATCGAGTGGCTGCCACCGGCACAACCAACCAGGGCCGGGGACAAACTGCAACCGAAGTACGTGCCCTTAGCTGGAACCGAACCCGGGTCTCTCTGGACCGCAGGCCGACGCTCTAACCGCTGAGCCAAACTGGCCAGGGCGCAGTTGATTATTTCTAACTGAGGATCTGAGAATGTCTTTTGGCTCTTCCAAAGCCTTGGTTTTAAAGGAAATGCAGGATAATTTAATGAGCATTTTCTCCTCAGCGATCGTAGTTTCTGAACTTCAAGAGATTTTTTGGAAAGTTGTATCACACAGTAACTTCCAGAAATATTTTATTGTCATGGATAGTGCTGTGATTAGGAGACATTATAATTATAGGGTTTGTTTTGAGTGATATATTAGGATAAATTTATTTTATTCTACAGTATTTTATTCTTTTTTTTATCCTCACCTGAGGACATTTTTGCGTTTATCTTCAGACAGAGCGGGAGGGAGAGAGAGAGAAACAGCGATGTGAGAGAGACACATCGAGTGGTTGCCACCCACACAACCCCAACTGGGGCTGGGGACAAACTGCAACCGAGGTACATTCCCTTAGCGGGAACCAAACCCGGGACTCTCTGGTCCATGGGCCAACACTCTAACTGCTGAGCCAAACTGGCCAGGGCTATAATATTTTATTCTTAAACACTAACAGAAATAATAAAAAGATTTTTCTATATAGAATGAGAAACTATCCTAAAACACTTGAAAGTAGATAGAAAAACAAGTAATACTGTATTAAAGAGTCAGTCTTCTCTTAGGTTGCTAACTTTGAGAGATCATGCTCACTTTTCATTTTAATCTTATAAATGTGCTAACATTCCTGACTGAAAACACAGCTACATGAAGTGTTCTCAGTCTTCATGTCTTGCCTGTTAATAATGTGCATGTCCAACCCACATTTTGTCTACACATATCTCTCCGCAGAATTACTTTTAAATAATGAAGGGCCCTTAGGCTGTTCTGGCTCTGTGCGGATAGTGCAATGGCTCTGCTAGCAGCTTTCAGTAGAGAATATATTCTTTTTTGTCTTCAGTAGATATCAAAAGTTCAACACATGAGCAGATTCCATATTTAATTAGAATAAGATCATGTTTTTTATGGAATGTATGAATAGCCAAGTACTATTTGCCTCTCCTAAATTTTGGAAATAATGACAAACATCCCCAGTTTAAAAGGTGACATGCTGTTGCATTGGAAGGGAGGGAGAGGGAGACAGACACCCAGAAACAAACCAGTTGGTTACCTCTGGCACTCGCCCTGACCAGGACTGGGTATTGAGCCTGCAATCCTGGTATGTGTTCTTGACCAGGAATTGAACCCAAGACCCTTTGGAGCATGGGCCAAGGGCCCCTGACATTTCTAAACATTGTTTTAGCAAGTGACTATACCTCAAATGTTGGAAACAACAGATTCCCTCTCTTTCATCTATTCTAAAAGGCAAGTAATTATTAGGAGACACTATCATTGCTCATACCTGTAGCTGAAAAAAATGACTTTTTTTAATCCTCACCTGAGGATATGTTTTTATTGATTTTTTTTTTAGGATGGGGGAGGGGGGAAGGGAGAGATTGACAGAGACAGAGATATCAGTGTGAGAAACATTGATCAGTTGCCTCCTGTACACACCCTGACTGGGGATCAAACCCAAAACCTAGGTATGTGCCCTGACCAGGAATTGAACCTGCAACCTTTCGGTATATGGGACAATGCCTCAATTAACTGAGCCACCTGGCCAGGGCAAACAAAATTCACTACTATTTTAAAATCTTTAGTATTAATATCTAAAAGACCACAGGAAGCCCTGGCCGGTTTGGCTCAGCGGTTAGAGCATTGGCCTGCGGTCTAGAGAGACCCGGGTTCGGTTCCCGCTAAGGGCACATACCTCGGTTGCAGTTTGTCCCCGGCCCTGGTCGGTCGTGCGGGTGGCAGCCACTCAATGTGTTCCTTTCACATCGATGTTTCTCTCTCTCTCTCTCTCTCTCTCTCTCTCTGTTCCTCTCTCTCCCTCCCACTCTACCTGAACAAAAAATGGAAAAATGTCCTCGGGTGAGGATAAAAAAATAAATAAATAAATAAAATAAAAGACCACAGGAAGCATTTTAAAACACTTTTTATATGAAGTTTTAATTCCTTTTTTTATTAAGAATGTTGACAAGTAGAACATTTTTCTTATGAGTTTATTCACAACTCCACCCTCCAAGAAGTCTAAGTTTCCTTTTTTTTTTTTCTTTTCTCGTTAATCCTCACTGGAGGATATTTTTTCATTGATATTTAGAGTTGGAAGGGGGAGGAGGAGGAGGAGGAAGAGGAGAGAGAGAGAGAGAGAGAGAGAAAAGAAAAGAAACATCAGTGTGAGAGAGGCACATTGATTGGTTGCCTCCCACATGACCCTGACTGAAGCCAGGATCGAACCAGAATAGAACCTGCAACCCAGATATGCGCCCTTGATCGGAATAGAACCCCCTTTGGTCCATAGACCAACATTCTAACCTCTGAGCCAAACCAACCAGGGCTAAGTGTCCTTAATTTTTACTTATGTGTCCTTCAGATGAGGATTTCTTTGTTTTGAGGTGGTGGTCTTTAATGTAAAAAAAAACTCACCTTTAATATATTTGCTGTAGAAATTAATTATAGCAGTTCATCATCCTTTTTTAGGTCACAGGCCCAGCCCCTTCAGGAGTCTAATGAAAGCTAAAGACTTCCTCAGAAAAGTACACACATGAATCTATATATAATTTTGCATGCTAAAAATTACAGAAGTATTGTGAACCTTATTGGTGTCCACTTATTGATCCGAGTTCTTAAAAAAACAAAGGATTTGTTTTATGCCTTTTGAAATGTTGAGGCATGTGTTACCTCTTAGGAGAAATAACATAATCTCTACTAAGTGCACTGTGTCTATCCCGGAATAAATGCTTATTTAGTGGTGTCAACTGCATTTGTGGTGTTCTCCAGGATCGGAATACAACACCATTAGCTTCATAAATTTACATAGGCTTTTAAAGATCAGACTTCAGAGCTTCGTGTCTAAAATAGGAGGTGCCCACTTCCAGTGTACTTTCATAACTACCTGCAGGCTGGATGACCAGAGAGATAAGAATGGCTTTTATATTTTTATTTATTTTTTCTGCTTTTGTTGCTTTATTATTTATATTCCCATGACCTCTTAGAAAAGTAGACTGAGGTCAATAAAATTAGCTGACCCAGGTGAGTAGGGAAAGGAGGCCAGGGAGCCTGGCTTTTTTTAATCCTTACCCAAATTTTTTTTTTTGCATTTATCTTCAGATAGAGCGGGAGGGAGAGAAGGAGGAAGAGAGAGAGAAACATCAATGTGAGAGAGACACATTGAGTGATTGCCACCGACAAGACCCTGACCGGGGCCAGGGACAAACTGCAACCGAGGTACGTGCCCTTAGCAGGAACCGAACCCAGGTCTCTGTGTACCGCAGGCCGACGCTCCAACCGCTGAGCCAAACCGGCCAGGGCGGCTTTTATATTTTTAAATGGTTGTGTAAAAAAATAGATGCAACTAAGTAAAAAGTCATATGGGGGCGGGGGGCAAAAGTAGGTTTACAATTGTTTCTATGGAAAATATTACAACAGCTCAGTCCATTTGGTTCAGTTGGTTGGGTGTCGTCCCAAGCACCAAGAACTCACAGGTTCAATTCCCAGTCAGGGCACATGCCAGGGTTGCAGGCTCGATCCCTAGTAGGGGCTTTGCAGGAGGTAGCCCGACGACATTTATCTCTCGATTTTTCTTTCTCCTTCTCCCTTCCTCTCTCTGAAATCAATTTAAAAAAAGAAAACACAATAATTAATAGATGATAACACAAGAATAAACTCATGTACTCACAACTGTAAACCTACTTTTGCCCCACCCTGTATTTACTGTCTTCAGAAAAAGGTTGCCAACTTCTGTATTAATTTATTTGGAGTATTTTCTGTTGAAATAAATAGTGTTGTTCAGCCACCTTCAGTGAGAAAAGCCCATCTTGAATAGTCATGTCTTTTTTTTAATCCAAGTGATCGAGGCTACTTATTATAACTTATAATAGTTTAAAACTTTCTTTTGGGCCCTGGTCAGTTTGGCTCAGCGGTTAGAGCGTCGGCCTGCGGTCCGTAGAGACCCGGGTTCGGTTCCCGCTAAGGGCACGCACCTTGGTTGCAGTTTGTCCCCAGCCCTGGTTGGGTTGTGTGGGTGGCAACCACTAGATGTGTCACTTTCACGTCGATGTTTCTCTCTCTTTCTCTCTCTCTCTCTCTCTCTCTCTCAGTCTATCTGAACAAAATATCGAAAAATGTCCTCGGGTGAGGATAAAAAAAAAACAAAAAACTTTCTTTTGGGAATGGGAGGGGTTCTGATACCTTGCCTTTTTTTCCTGAATGGTACAGTGGCACTGTTGATAGCCAATACCATTAGATAATTTAGAAATTTTATTTTATTTTTTTAATCCTTATCTGAGGACATTTTTCCATTTCTTGTTCAGATAGAGTGGGAGGGAGAGAGAAGAAGAGAGAGAAAGAGAGAAACATCAACATGAAAGGGACACATCGAGTGGTTGCCACCTGCATGACCCAACCAGGGCTGGGGACAGACTGCAACCGAGGTACGTGACCTTAGCGGGAACTGAACCCAGATCTCTGGACCACAGGCCAATGCTCTAACCGTTGAGCCGAACCAGCCAGGGCTAGAAGTTTTAATACTGGTATAATGTTAAAATTCTACAGGGTTAAAGTTGCAAATGGCTTTTTTGTCCTACGTCCATGTAGATGAAGGAGGGTATTTATTTATTTTTAATCCTCACCCAAGGATATTTTTCCATTTATCTTGAGTTAGAGTGGGAGGGAGGAAGAGAGAGAGAGAGAAACATCGATGTGAGAGAGTCACATCAATTGGTTGCCACCCTCACGACCTCAGCCAAGGCCAGGGTACATGCCCTTGGTCAAAATTGGACTCAGGACTCTGGTCCACAGGCCAGCACTTTAACCACTGACCCATAGTTGCCAGGGCAATAACGGAGGGTATTTAAGAGATGGCTTCTTGCCCTGGCCAGTTTGGCTCAGCAGTTAGAGCGTCAGCCCATGGACAATAGTGTCTCGGGTTTGATTTCCGGTCAAGGAAATCAAGATACGTGATGTATCTTGGTTGCAGGTTCCATCCCTGGTCCCAGTCAGGTTCATGCAGGTGGCAACCAGTCTGTCTCTCTCACATAGATGTTTCTATTTCTTTTCCCCTTCCCACTCTAACAGTCAATGGAAAAATATTCTTGGGTGAGGATTAAAAGAGAGAGCGAGAGAGAGATGGCTTCTTACTTTACTGTTTCTTTTTACGTTTCAGATCAAAAGCTGTAAGATTACACATTTTCTGAAAGAAAATGCATGTTAATTATAAGATTTAAGTTATGCCTAACACCAAATCAGTATCAAGAGGAATCTTTTCTCATAGTGTTGCTCATACTCTGTGATTCTGATCACTTTCCAATGTATTCATGAAATGAACATAGACTGGGAAAAGATTATTTGCTGCCAAGTGACAGTCTTTTTTCAATCCTGCATTTAATAAAGCATAGGAGTATGCCATGATTTCAATTCTGTTAAAATTTTTTATTTGAAGTTCCCATTCCAGCCCTGGCCTGTGTGGCTCAGTTGGTTGGAGTGTTGTCCTGTACACTGAAACTTCTGGGGTTTGATTCCTAGCAGAGCACATTCCAAGGTTGTGGGTTGGATCTCCAATCACGGTGCGTGTATGGAAGGCAACTGGTCGATATTTCCTCTAACATCAATGTTTCTCTGGCTTTCTCCCTCTCCTCTCCTCTCTCTCTCTCTCTGAAAAATCAATAAGAATATATCCTCAGGTGAGGATTAGGAAAAAAAATTGTAAAGTTCCTATTCCAAACTGGGCCACTTACTTGTGTGACTTCATATATGTTGTCTTAGCCTCTATGAGTAGGTGATTGCATCTTTACATTGGAGTTTTCATATCATACACATATTTTGAAATCAAATTAGGATAACAGATCTAGAAAAAAGCTCATGAAAGGCAAAGTACATTGATTCTTGAACCTTCTAATTTTGCTTTATCATCTGCACACTAACCATCTCAGCTTATTAACATTCTCATAATCAGAGATATGTGTTCTTCCCACATTATTTCCTTAGTGTTCTATTTGTGTGGTTATGTGTAGAATTCCAGTTCGACATAGTGTATAATAAAATAAGGTGCTTTTTTTTTTCTTTATTGATTTTAGAGAGGAAGAGAGAGAGGAAAATATCGATGAGAGAGAACATTGATTGGCCATCTCCTGCATGCCCCTCATTGGGGATCAGCCCACACCCTGGGCATGCGCCCTGACCAGGAAATAAACCAGTGACCTCTTGGTGCATGGGTCGATGCTCAACCACTGAGCCACACCGGCTGGGCTAAGCTGCTTATTTTTTTAGAATAAGCTTGGTTCTGTCTTTGTGTGCCTGTGTTTGTTTGTTTTTTAAATACTCCTGACTTGAGGTATAAATGATTCCAGAACTATTTTTAATAACTTCATATTTTTAACAAAAGTGTTATCTTTTTTCAAAAGGAGCTGACTGGTTTAAATTTTTGAATTTTTAGAAAACCATGTTAGTAGTTGTGATTATATACCAAGAAACTGAGGTTCTCCTAAAAGCAATAAAAATATACATATATAGCCCTGGTTGGTGTTGTTCAGTGGTTAGAGCACCACCCCATGCACTGAAGGGTCTCAGGTTCAGTTCCCGCTTAGGACACGTATTTGGGTTGCAGGTTCAATCTCCAACCATGGTCAGAGCATGTGCAGGAGGCAACCAATCAATGTGTACCCATCGATGTTTCTCTCTCTCTCTTTCTCCCTCTCTACCTCTGTCTCCCTCCCCTTCTTCACCTCCCTCTCCCTTCTACTCTCTCTAAAAAAATCAATGGAAAAATATCCTCAGGTAAGGATTAACAATATTATATATTTATATTACATTATGTTAATATTATTATATACACACATATAAAGATCTGCATGTTGTTTGATACAAAGAGTGGAGAACCCAGATAGGAATGGGTATTCACTCCTGAATCCCAACCATCATCTGAAACCTACCTCTATAGCAGCAGTTCTCAACCTGTGGGTCGCGACCCCTTTGGGGGTCGAACGACCCTTTCACAGGGGTTCTCTAAGACGTAACAGTAGCAAAATTACAGTTATGAAGTTGCAACAAAAATAATTTTATAGTTGGGGGTCACCACAACACGAGGAACTATATTAAAGGGTTGCGGCATTAGGAAGGTTGAGAACCACTGCTCTAGAGAGAGAGGCTAGGTTTGCTTTTGGATTCAAGTGAACCAGCCATGGACTGTGCTTGCCTTTTATCCAGGTGGCCCATTACAGACCAGTAACAGGTCACTTAAGAGAAAAATTCTCAGTTGCCTATTGGATAGTTTTGTTTTGGGGACTATTTTTATTTCCATGCTTTAACCTTGGGCAACAACACGTGTAGTCACAGCACACACCTGGCTAAATAAATCCAGAGCCTTGTGTCCTTTTAACCTTTTGCTGGATTTCTCTGCATTTTCTACAGAAAGATTGTAAGTAAAATAGATGGCGACAAGGACGGGTTTGTCACTGTGGATGAGCTCAAAGACTGGATTAAATTTGCACAAAAGCGCTGGATTTACGAGGATGTAGAGCGACAGTGGAAGGGGCATGACCTCAATGAGGACGGCCTCGTTTCCTGGGAGGAATATAAAAATGCCACCTACGGCTACGTTTTAGGTAGGTCCCTACTACCTGGGGGAAAAGCCTTGTGGAGCTGGCACCTTGAAACGTAACTGTTTTGTCTTGTAGAATGATTGTAGATAAAATAGACGCGGATAAAGATGGGTTTGTGACGGAGGGGGAGCTGAAAGCCTGGATTAAGCACGCCCAGAAGAAATACATATATGACAATGTTGAAAACCAATGGCAGGCGTTTGATATGAATCACGACGGCTTAATCTCCTGGGATGAGTACAGGAACGTGATTTATGGCACTGACCTGGGTAAGGGGCAAGATGTCAGCCTGGCAGAGACCATGGTCTTGAGTCAAAGAAACAAATGGGTCACGCAGTGAAGGAAAGGAAGAAACTGCGTATCTTAAATAGTTCAATGCTGAGCTGATTTCCCTTCATTTCATTAATTTTAAATTTGTGTATTTTTAAAATTTGTTTAATTTTGGTTTTCGAAGGCCTGGCATCTTCTACATCTTTTAGCATTTCAGATATATTTTTGCCATGTTTTCTTTCTGTCATCCCTCAGAGAGACCGTTTTGGAGTAGATCTTGTTTCAAAGGCTGCATTGTTCCAACAATGCAAAGCAAGATGCTTTGATTTTTCTCTTGACATAATCACATTAAGGTGTTGGACCTGAAATTCAAACCAAATTAGATTCCTTTATAAGTAGTGGAAATAGGAGGAAAATTAGTCTTTCCTTAATAAAATATACATCAACTACAACTTTCCTTGATAAAATATAACTATTTCAGTATGCCTGCTTACTGACGTTCAGAAATGAAAATTTCCCATTTGTTTTCTCTGGCACATGAGTTTTATCAGCCTGCTTTGCAAATGCTTCAAGGCAAATAAATATGACTTTGATTGCTTTCTGTTGATTTGGTAGCATGTGTGCTTGGGCCACCTGTTAGTAATTTTCTTTTACTTATTACACTTGCCTGCTACTGAATGCTAGGTGGCGATCTTACTGAGTTGATGATTTAGGGTGTTTCTGTTAGTGAGATTCCTCTGTTGTCCATGGTTACAATTTGAGACAAAAATGTATAAATATTCCTTCTTGCATTTTTATCTCAGAAACTGGGCAAATTTCTGGGTTAAAGCAGGCGCTTTTCACCCCTGACAGTGAATGTATAATGTTCTTTTTCCCCACTAGATAGCCAGCTGTCCATGTTAATTACAGGACCGCATGCATTTCGAGTGAAGAGACTTTTATTTCTGTGTCAGCTTGTTCTCATTCCTAAGATTAAAGTGGCAGTCTCTCTCCAAGCTTGACACTTAGCCAAGAACCAAACATAGACTTCACCCAATTAAGAACACGTGTATTAAAAAGTCAGGGCAGATGGAGGAGTCATTCGTGCTTTTTGCTCTCTGGCTGAGACCTAACACCCTCCTGATTTATTTGGAATTAATTATAAATACAAAACAAAGGGTAGGCTATTGGTGATCTAAACAGAACGGTGTGTTAATAAATCTCAGCTCAGACCTAGGCACTCACTGGCTGCCCAGAATGAATTTTAAGCTCTTTGGATGTTTATGTGCATACAAATCTGTTGAGAGCTCTGTTAGCTAACAGGGCAAATGATTTGATGTAATGGGTATTTTTACTGACTGAGACTGCATAAGCTGAAGCACTGGCTGGAGAAACAATGTCTTTATAAGGCATCTTTCCCTGGAGGCATGTGGGTAGACAGTACCCAGGGGATAATGAGTTGTCTTACAGAAGTGCTGAGGAGTGTTTCGTGAGTGTATTCTTGATTCATTTTAGAGTTCAGGTATAAATCATCTTAGCTTTTAATTAAATTCTGTCATAATGAATCTGCTTTCCACCAAAGGACCGGTAACATTGTCTCTGCCACAGGTAAAATATGAAAAACAAAGATCCACCATGCCTATACCAAAACTAGATCAAGAGCCTACCCAATGCTGTGTGCAGACGGTGCTTAGGACAGATAAAGCATGTTGAACTGTGATGATAGGCACATGAGTTTAGTCATTGAAAATAAAGTTTATGCTAAAAAAGGAAAAGTTTTCATTGTGATGTATGTGCATATTATCAGCCTCCTTGATTCCAGTCACCATGTTTTACTCTAAGGAGGAGAAGAGAAAGGCTCTTGGCTAAGAATCTAGTCTTTTTTTTTTTTTTTTATGTACAAAGAGATAGCATTCTGTGGTAAGGTAGATGTCTTGAATGGCTCATTCATGGAAGTTCACTTAGTCCAACCTAATGAAGCCGATGTCCTTCACGTACTGACGGAAACACTGGTGGCACATATTGAGGCCATATTTCCGGATCAGACCGTGCCCGTTTGAGCAGACGGGGCAAGAACGGGAACCCTGGCCGAATTTTCTCGGATGGCTCCAGTAGAGTTGCTGGTGACTCATCTTGTTCGCTCGGAAGCAACGAGGCAAAAAGCCAAGAATCTAATGTATAAGTTGTCTTCTATCTTTCTTGTTTATGTTATGTAGTTGGTACTGAAACATTATTTGTTTAGAAGAAATAACAGTATCTGAGAAAGTTATATTTTCCTTCAATTATCCATCTACAGCCTATCATGACTTTTTTTAAAAAATATGTTTTTATTGATGTTTTAGAGAAAGAGGAAGGGAGAGAGAGAGAAAAAGATCGATGTGAGAAAGAGAGACGTTGCTTGGCTGCCTCCTGCACGCCTCCCACTCGGATCAAGCCCGCAACCCAGGCATGTGCCCTGACCAGGATTGAACCAGGACCTCTCAGACCATGGGGTGATGCCCAATCCACTGAGCCACATCAGCTGGGCATGGCTTTGAATATATACATATAGGGTCCCCAAAACCTCATGATGCAGTAAGCTGTCTTACTGAGTTTTGACGCTCAACAAAGCATGAAGCTTCAAGCTGCTCAACTCTCAAAATAGAGCAATAGTCTTTTTTTTTTAACTGCTTAAAGTATGGAAAGATTGAACTACAGTGTCAGAAGTTAGTAGGGTGATGTTATTGTTAAAGGGGTCCTGTGTGTCTTTATAAAACTAGTACAATGTCCTTTTTTACTTGGTCAGTATGTTGCAGAAACAATTATTCCTTACCTTTAATGTGGTGTCTTAACTTTCTTACTTTCAAAGTGGTAATATTCTGTTGCTTGAATCTAACTGGCTTATTTAATGGGGTAGAAGGCCTTTGATATCTAGCTTTTTTATTTTAATTTTTTTTTAATCCTCAACATTTTTCCATATTTTGTTCAGATAGAGTGGGAGGGAGGGAGAGAGAGAGAGAGAGAAACATCAACGTGAAAGGGACACATCGAGTGGTTGCCACTCGCACGACCTAACCGGGGCCGGGGACAAACTGCAACCGAGGTACGTGCCCTTAGCGGGAACCGAACCCGGGTCTCTCTGGACCGCAGGCCGACCCTCTAACCGCTGAGCCAAACCAGCCAGGGTGATATCTAGCTTTTTAATGGGAACCTGATGTTTAATAAAAATAGCAATGGCTAACATTTATTGAAAGCCTACTATATGCCAGGCACTCTTCTAAGTAATTAGATTTATTTGCTCATTTAAACTTCAACAGTCCTGTGGGGCAGGAACCATTATTATCTCCATTTTACAAATGGGTAGATTGAAGCACAGTTAGGTTACTTGCCCAAGGTCACATGCTAGAAAGTGATAGAATTTGGATTCAAACCCAGACCATGTGGCTTTAGAACCACCACTACATCTCGGATAAAACTAAAAAACTCAATCCCTCAAACAGCCTCAACAGTCAGTAACAGTGAAGAATTTACATAATTGGTTACATAGTCCAGGAGCCAGGGTTTCATGTTGAATAGCAAGCATTTACATTCAATTTGGACCTGACTTTGAGGTCTTTGATTACCCAAACTGAATGTCTGTACTGCTGCAATTGTACCTGTGTAATCAAAGAGTTATTTCTTCATTGCTTGGTTTATCCTTGGAGATTGATTCCCCAGCCCACATATTTTCATGTTTTCTGGAAGTCTTTTAAGATTTAACCTAAATTTTTATTTTCTAGATGATCCAGACCCTGATGATGGATTTAACTATAAACAGATGATGGTTAGAGATGAACGGAGGTTTAAAATGGCAGACAAGGATGGAGACCTCATTGCCACAAAGGAGGAATTCACAGCTTTCCTGCACCCTGAGGAATATGACTACATGAAAGACATAGTAGTGCAGGTAGGTGAGAGCAGGGATTCTCGACGAATATAATTTCTCTTTTTGTTGCTTATGTGTCTTTCCCCTTTCACCTTTCCTGTGTATTTGGAAGCAGTGCAAGTGCTGGCCAGGTTGGATCCAGGCTCTGTCACTCTGTTTTTCTGTGATCAAGTCATTTATCTTAGGTGCTATAGACTTTCTCTTTAGTATGACAATACTTATCATCAGATCATGTATTTTGCCATTTAATTGGTGGCTTCATATTATAAGCATGAGAGAAAATCCTATTTTTTAAAAATATCTCATGACCTGTAATCAGTTATGGAGTAATAACAGTGATACTAAATAATTCTCACAGAAGGCAGTTACCAGTAAAACAGACTATAGCTATAGACATACTTACTGGTCACATCTGTTAATATGGGTTCCGCAGGACTAGGACTACCAGATCATCATGGGTTTAGTGGATAGTTCATAATTAAGCAGTACCCGTGTCTCTTCAAGAAGACTCATAGTTATTTTAGGTTGAAGTATAAAACACTGAAAATGTTTTATCATTAATAGTCTCTCAATCTTTTCTGTCTAGGAAACAATGGAGGATATAGATAAGAATGCTGATGGTTTCATTGATCTAGAAGAGTATATTGGTAAGTTTGTTTCTGGCATTTCTCTTAGAAGGGGCTGAGAAGCTTTGGGAGATAGGTTCTTCCATGGAAACAATTTATCCCATTGGTCAACTCTTAGCACATCATTAAGCTACACCAATGTGAGGAATAGTGGGTTGTGGTAAATTATCTGTAACAGAACTGTCCAATCAAAATGTAAATGTGAACCACATACGAAATATTAACTTTTTCATAGCCATATCAAAAAAAACATAAGTTTGACTCAGTTGAGTGTTGTCCCATGCACTGAGAAGTCACCAATTTAATTCCCAGTCAGGGCACATGCCCAGGTTGCAGCTGGATTCCCAGTGCAGGAGGCAGCCGGTAGATGTTTCTCCTCCCCCATCTCCTTCTCTGTCTAAAATCAATAAAAACTATTTTTTTTTTTTATTCTCACCCAAGGACATTTTTCCATTTTTTGTTCAGATAGAGTGGGAGGGGGGGAGAGAGAGAGGCCTTGGCCGGTTTGGCTCAGCAGTTAGAGTGTCGGCCCTCAAACCGGAGAGTCCCGGGTTCGGTTCCTGCTAAGGGCATGCACCTCGATTGCAGTTTGTCCCCAGCCCCAATTGGGGTCGTGTGGGTGGCAACCAGTCGATATGTCTCTCTCACATCGATGTTTCTCTCTGCCCCCCCCCCCCCCATCTGAAGATAAATGCAAAAAATGTCCTTGGGTGAGGATTAAAAAAAAAATACATGAAAATAATTTCAGTAATATTTTATATAACCAAATATTATAATTTCAGTATTACCATAAATTATTGAGGGTTTTTGTTTTTCCTACTAAGTCTTTGGAAGAGTATTTTATACATAAAGCACATCTCAGTTGGGACCATCCACATTTCACGTCCTCAATAGCCACACATGGTCACTGACTACCATACAGGCCAGCACTGATATAGTACATCCCAGATGCCCTGTGGAAGTGACAGTAAAGAGCTGCAGGGAGCCTAGACTGGCATAAGGAAACCCAGGAGAAGAAGACAAGGATTAGAATAAAAGAGATAGGTGGATGAATAAGGGACCAGGATTACTGGTTCATTAGAGCTGTGGTTCTCAACCTTCCTAATGCCACGACCCTTTAATACAGTTCCTCATGTTGTGGTGATCCCAACCATAAAATTATTTTTGTTGCTACTTCATAACTGTAATTTTGCTACTGTTATGTCTTAGGCAAACCCTGTGAAAGGGTCGGTCGACTCCCAAAGATCGCGACCCACAGGCTGACAACTGCTGCTTTAGAACCTTTTGTTTTCACTGTGTTCTAGTCATGTTTCCCATTTAGGTTCTCTTAAGTTACTCCTTTCTGCCATTTTTTCCTTGTAGTTGTCTATTTTTTAAAAAGTTGTTTTGTTTTGTTTTTGATGTTATACCTTTAAGGCTAATTTCTCCCAGGTAAAGCTGTTTTTATTTCTTCAGAATAATTTCATGATTTCCCCATTGCCTTAAAAAAAGGAGCTGCCTCTCTTACCAAGTGTTGACCAAATTGTTTCCCAATTACTGTGATAGAAATTAAGATAAGTAAAGAAGCCCTGGCTGGTTTGGCTCAGCGGCTGGAGCATCGGCCCTCCAAACGAAGAGTCTCTGGTTAGATTCCGGTCAAGGACAGGTACCTCCGGTGCAATTTAATCCCCGGCCCTGGTTGGGGTCCTGTGGGAGGCAACCAATTGATGTCTCTCACATCAATTCACATCAATATTTATCTCTCTCTCTCTCCCTTCTTCCCTCCCTCCCACTCTATCTGAAAATCAATGGAAAAATATCCTCAGGTGAGGATTTTAAAAAAAGATAAGAAGAGATGAAAGATAATTATTTTTTTTTAAACTGATCTTTATTGTTAAATGTATTATAGCTGTCCCCTCTTTTTTCCCATTGACCTTCCCCTCCCCAATCCTGCCCCCCCTCCTGCCTTCCCCACACTATTGTGTCCATTGGTTATGCATATATGCATAGAAGTTCTCTGGTTTATCTCTTCCCACCCTCCCTCCCCCTTTCCCTTTGAGGTTCATCAGTCTAACAACCAATTTGTACTATATTTTTTTAATCTGTTGTTTAAATATGTCTTTATTGCTTTTTTAGAGAGAGGAAGTGAGAGAGATGGGAACATCGATGTGAGAGAAACACTGATCGGCTGCCTCCCGCACACCCAATTTGTACTTTTGTACTTCTGAATTCTTTCATCTTTTTCACCCATTCCCCCAGCCCCCTCCCATTTGGCAAACAACAGAAAGTTCTGTGTATCTATGAGTCTGTTTCTGTTCTGCTTGGTTATTTTATTTGTAGATTCAATTGTTGATAGATACATATTGTGATGATGATGTATGTTGGTGTGGACCCCTTCAGGATCATCTTATTTGGGACTCTCTGTGCTTCTTGGACTTGTATACATGTTTCCTTCACCAAGTTAGGGAAGTTTTCTGTCATTATTTTGTCAAATAGGTTTTCAGTTTCTCTCTCTCCTCCTTCTGGTACCCCCATGATGTGAATGTTGGTACACTTGAAGTTGTCCCAGAGGCTCCTTACACTATCCTCATTTTTTGGGATTCTTTTTTCTTTTTGCTGTTCTGATTGGATGTTTTTCCTTCCTTATATTCCAAATCAATGGTTTGCTTCTTGGCTTTACCTACTCTACTATTGATTCCCTGTAAATTATTCTTTATTTCAGTTAGTGCATCCTTTATTTCTGACTGGTTCTTATTTATGTTGTTGATGTTCTCACTAAGTTCCTTGAAGGTCTCACCAAGTTCCTTGAATGTCTCACCAGGTTCCTTGAGCAACCTTATAACCAGTGTTTCTGCATCTTATTGATTGCTTATCTCCATTTTGTTTAATTCCTTTCCTGGAGTTTTGTTCTTTTTTTTTTTTTTTCATTTGGGACATGTTTCTTTGTCTCCTCATTTTGGCTGCTTCCCTGTGTTTTTTTCTGTATATTAGGTAGAGTTGCTATGTCTCCTAGGCTTTGTAGAGTGGCCTATTGTTGTAGGTGTCCTGTAGGATCCAGTGGCACAGCCTCCCTGGTAATCCCAGCTGGGCTCTCAAGGTTCACTCCTAGTGTGGACTGTACACCCGTCTTTTGTAATTGAGTCTTGATTGGTGTTGGCATGCCAATGGAAGGGATTTATTCAGGCTGATCAGCTGCAAGGACTGGCTGTGCCCACTGACCCACTGACCACTGGCCTCTGACTCCCTGGAGGATCAGCTGTGCAGGAGCCCAACACACAGAGCAAGACTGACTTCATCCAGGCTCTTGTACTTACTGAGTTCATTAATTGAGTGTGTCGCTTGTGGAGGTGGTTGGGTGGTGGTGCTTTGATGTGGTCTGAAGCTGTCCACTGGGTGTGCTGGCTCTGGGGCAAGGCGAGCCTCTGCCTATGTTCTGCCTGGGGCCACCCAGCATTGTGTTTATTTGTTTGTTTTTGTTTTTATTTTTTTAGAGAGAGAGGAAGGGAGAGAGAGATAGAAACATCGATGTGAGAGAGATACATCAACTGGCTGCCTCCTATACACCCCTTACTGGGGATCAAGCCTGCAACCTGGGTATGTGCCCTGACCAGGAATTGAACTGTGACCTTTCAGTCCATGGGATGACGTTCAATCCACTGAGCCACACCGACCGGGCATGAATATCTTTGTTACAAATGTCATTTCTTTTTTTTTTTCCTTATCTGAGGACATTTTTCCATTTTTTGTTCAGGTAGAGTGGGAGGGAGAGAGAGGAAGAGAGAGAAAGAGAAACATCGATGTGAAAGGGACACATCGAGTGGTTGCCACCCACATGACCCATCCAGGGCCAGGGACAAACTGCAACCGAGGTACGCGCCCTTAGCGGGAACCGAACCTGGGTCTCTCTGTAGAGCAGGCCTACGCTCTATAACCGCTGAGCCAAACTGGCCAGGGCCAAATGTCATTTCATTTTGAAAAATACTAGGTAATTTTATATTTTGCATTCCTGATTTACTGATAGTAACTTAATTTAGTGTACCACTGGTTTTGTGTTCTATAAGCCAGTTTGTTTTTAGTCCTCTGATCTTTATTTTAAGCATGAAAGGGAGACTTAAACCCTACCTCTATCACCTGTCACTTAAACTGCATTGAACAATAATTTCTTTACTCAGATTTTGTCTAATGAGACCTGATATTTATTTTCTAGAGTTATTCAGTTGAATTACTCCTTGAAAATTTACTGCTTTTTCCCCTAAGACTCAGTAATATACTTTTGAGTATTTTAGAGAAAGAGGGATGAGCACTGGAACATAGGATTTTTTTTTCAATGTGATTTTTTTAGTTGAGTTCTTCAGTGGAAATAAATATCTGTGTGCATTTACTGAGCCCATTTCAAAGTTGACGTTTTCTACTGTTAAAAAAAAAATATATATATATATATATATATATATATATAACCTGAGGACACTTTTCCATTTTTTGTTCAGATAGAGTGGGAGGGGGAGAGAGAGAGAGAGAGAGAGAGAAACGTTGACACGAAAGGGATACATTGGCTGCCACCCGCACAACCAACCAGGGCCAGGGACAAACTTCAACCGAGGTGCGTGCCCTTAGCAGGAACTGAACCCGGTCTCTCTGGACCACAGGCTGACGCTCTAACCGCTGAGCCAAACTGGCCAGGGCCTGCCTGTTAAAATATTTGTGTTTTTTTTGTTAATCCTCACCCAAGGATATTTTTCCATTGATTTTCAGATAGAGTGGAATAGAGGGAGGGAGGGAGAGAAACATCAATGTGAGAAAGACACATTGACCAGTTGCCTCTAACCGGGGCCAGGGATCAAATCTGCAACCCAAGTACATGCCCTTGACTGGAAATCGAATCTCTGACACTTTGATCTGCGGGCTGACACTCTCACCTCTGAGCCAAACTGTCCAGGGCTCTACTGTTAGATATTGTACTCTTCATTCTTGGTTTTTGCTATCTTACCACTATTCCTAAAACTGAGGGACTCATTTGAACCTTCTGAGGGGACGAAATAGGTTTTATAACAGTTAAGTACTATCATTTACCAAGCATTGAGGCCAAATGAGATAGTTCTGTCTCCCTCCCCATCATATAGATTCAAGGGCAAAGGAATTGTGTCTTGACACTACTGAAACTCAGCTGTGTATATGCTGCTTTCTTTTGCAAACCATCAACTGATGCTAACACTTTTACACCCAACTAATGGGCTTTGTTAAGCTGAAAGTCTCCCAGTATCTTCTGGTTTCTAGGGATGTGCTATCCTGTTGAGAGATCCTAAAGAAACAAGTAGTCTTTGACTCTTACATTTAGCATTAATAAAAAGTCTTCAGTTATACTGTTGAATTTTTGTTTTGTTTTGTTTTGGTTTTGCTTTTGCTTTTTTGGCTTTATTTCATTGTATGCTCTTATCTCCTTTGTCAACCTTTTTAAATTATTAATTTATTTTTGTTACAGATGTTTCTCCTTTTTCCTCCATTGACACCCTCCTCCTGATCCCCACCCCCACCCCGTCCCCAGCATTATTGTCCATGTCAATTGGTTACACATACATGCATATGAGTTCTGTGTTTTATCTCACCATCCCCTTCTTCTGAGGTTTGTCAGTCTGTACCCTACTTCTATGTTTCTGGGTCTATTTTGTTCATCAGTTTGTTTTGTTCATTATATTCCACAAATACAATGTGTAATTTTTTTAATCTTTAAATGTATTACAGAGCATTGAGGACATACACAGAATTAGATAGAATAATATAATGAATCCCCAGGTGCCTATACCCAACCCCAACAGCCATCAGTCCATGCCCAATCCTTTCACTTCCTTACCTACCTCCTTTATTATTTTGAAGTCAATCCCAGTCATCATTTTATTGATAAACATTTGGTTATGTATCTCTTAAGATACATGTGTATTCCTAAAACTTTTAAAACATAATTTCAAGAAATTAGTACTTTCTTAACATCATTATGTAGATTGAATTCTTTTTTTTTTTTTAATCCTCACTCGAGGATATTTTTCCATTTATCTTCAAATAGAGTAGAAAGGAGGGGGACAGAGAGAAACATCGATGTGAGAGAGACACGTTGGTTGCCTCCTGCATGACCCCAACCAGGGCCGGGGACCAAACCACAATCGAGGTATATGCCCTTGACCAGAATCAAACCTGCAATTCTTTGGTCTGTGGGCCGAGCTCTAACTGTGACCCAAACTGGCCAGGGTGATTGAATCCTTTTTAAATAGAAAATTAAGTAGTATCATTCTTCTCTCTACTCATCTAGCTTTAAAATGCACTTACACTGTATTGTATAGTCTAGCTTTTATTAAAAGTATGTCTTTTATGCACACACTTACTCTAATTCACAACTTCGCAGTCTGTATACTGTGAAAGGTCTCCTTGACCCTTGGCACAGCTAGGGCAGGGTACTTGCCCAGTGGGTCATACAAATACTATATTTTCTGAATGTGCTGTATTGTGGTGGGTGGGGAGAGATTGGCAAGTCCTACTCTGAGGAACTTCTTCTGTTAACGCAGAAGGAGTTGTTCTTTCTTAACCCTCAAATTCAGAAAAATGACAGTACTAACTGTCAAATTACAAAAATAATGTAATTTAGTAATGAGCTCGATGTCCTCTGTTCAGGGGAAAACAATTCATGTATTAGGCTACAGTGGCTCACAAGCAGTGGAGTCCTGGGAGATTTGTGGCAAGAGCGAGTGTTGGAGGAGGCAACACGGAAACGGCAGAACTGGCTAGGAGGTCGGGGATTTCCTTTACACGGCTAGAGGTCCTCTTTTCCAGGGTCAGGTAAACTGAGCTGGAGGATCGTGATTGGTGTAGGTTAGGTTTCCATGGCAGTGAGGCACTTCCTATAAGTGCAGGCTGACTTGGGTTTAGATTTGTGTCATGGGCCAGGCCACTGGGACAGCTTTCATTTTGTGGGTCCCCACATACAAATTACATTTATCACAGCTAAATAACTACCTTTGCTTAGAGCTACTAGAAACTATTTAAACTTCTATTAGGTGTGTTTCCAGACCTTCTATGAAGTGTACCTACAGTTACTTAGATGTCACATAACTCAGGAGTCTTCAGACTTTTTCACTCACGTAATTCCTGAAAGAATTTTGACAAACAGTATTCTCTTACACATTTTGAAATTGGCATCTTAAATATTTAAGTAGAAATTTAAATAGTTGTATAGAAAAATCTCTGTAAATATTGATAAAGTACGTTAACTCTTAAATAAATCTTGTAAAATTAAAATACTATAGCAACTTTCTAGCTACCATTATTCATATAAATAATTTAAACAAACCAACTTTAAAAATGTAATTAGGAAATTCATGCCCTGACTCTGGTTAGACCATTGGCCTGCACAGGGAGGGGTCAATTTTCAGTCAAGGTTGCATGTTAGATCCCTGGCCCCAGCCAGGGCACATTGCAGGAGGCAGCTGATCAGTGTGTCTCTCTCATATCGATGTTCCTCTCTCTCCCTCTTCCTCCCTCCCTCCCTTCTACTTTCTAGAAATCAATGGAAAAAATATCCTCAGGTGAGGATTAAATAAATAAATACTAGGAAATTCAAATTTGGATTGAGTATAAAATAACAAAAAGTTGTTTTTGTAAAATGTGATAATAGCATTATGGCTTTATAAGAAAATGCCCATTATTTTAGAGATACATTCTAAAATATACCAAGTAATTGGTTGGGGACAGTTTTGACTTGTAACAAACACGTCTCAAGTTTTCCTGAGAATTTAAAACAGCACCTTTCCAAAACCAGTGGTCAGGTCTAATTAGTTACCATGGAGTGAAATGGAATGTAGGCAACAACTGTCTTGTAAAAGTTCGTCTTTTTCTTGATGTTAGTTGTCTCCCCTTATTTATGCATTTTTAAAAAGAGATACGGACTCTTTGTTTTCAAAACCAGCTGCTGGAAATATTTTTGTTTTAAGAGCAATTAAGGTGCAGGTAAATTCCTTGTTTTCTAAGTTCTCTCTGACCTAAAATACCCTTAGAACTTTTATTTGGTTCCAAACAGTTGGATGAGGAAAGGGGGTTAAACCAGATCAGCATGGAGCAGTCTTTGGAAAAAGGAAAATCCATCTTTTCTGTGTATGTCTGTGCACACAGGTGACATGTATAGCCATGATGGAAATGCTGATGAACCAGAGTGGGTCAAGACAGAGAGAGAACAGTTTGTTGAGTTTCGAGATAAGAACCGTGATGGGAAAATGGACAAGGAAGAGACCAAAGACTGGATTCTTCCCTCAGACTATGATCATGCTGAAGCAGAAGCCCGGCACCTAGTTTATGAGTCAGACCAAAACAAGGTAAGTCTGGTCAGGCCCAAACAATCTAGCAGTGGTGGAAGTCTATTTCTAGGGGATTGCCTAAAATTCCTATTAAGGTACATAAAGCATTTACAGTCTTAATTAATCTAAGTCTGCTACCAACCTAAAGTTGGCAATTGAAAACTTACAGGGCAGCATTCACTGTCTGATCTCATTTTAGAAATCCCTTTGCCAAGTGTATGTAGCATTGGAGGAATTAAGGCTTCAGAAGAGAACCTCTGTGTGTGTAACCTGTGCCCAGCATGTTCTCTTTGGATCCCCAAGAAATTTTCCTTGCTTTTTTTTCTTTGTTGTTTTCTTTGTTCTTTTACCAATTACAGGCTCATTTTGCCTACTCAAGGCTGGTCATATACTTTTTTTTTTTAATGTTTTATTGATTTTTTTAGGGAGAGAGATAGAAACATCAGTGTGAGAAACATCAGTTGACTGCCTCCTGCACGCCCCCTTTTGGGGATTGAGCCCACCACCCCAGGCATGTGCCCTGACCGGGATTCAAACTGGGACCTCAGTCCGTGGAATGATGCTCAATCCACTGAGCCACACTGGCGGGGCTGGTTATTTCCTTCTTAAATCAAATATGCTTTTTAAAATGAAGTCCTTTGTGTAGTAGGTTATAAAAAAGCTTTTCCTGGAGCCTGTTAAAATTGTCCTTGATCAGTTATCTGCGAGGCATTTGTTTCATTAAAAGAGTGGTGTTACCCATCTAAACTGGGGGATTTTTAGCATTCTGAACCTTCTTTTATCTAGGCTGATCTTCAGTTTCAAAAGCAGTTTCTTATCATCAAGCCTTTTTAAGGGTCAGTCTCTTTTGAGTTCTTACTCAGTCACTTCAGTAGACAGGTGCTGTGTCCTGAGGATTGTAAGAAAAAGAAACTCGTGTAATCATCCCTTGGGAATCTGGCCTAGATAGTTTTTGAGATGAGTATCTGAGCCTTCATTGAGGATTGTGTCTGGAATCTGACTGGTAGCTAGGGCATAATAGAGGTGAGGACTCCGCTTGATATTAGCAGATTTTGTTGTTCCCGTTAGGCTATGACTTGATCACTCTAAGTATTTTACCGAGTTCTTCTTGGCTATCTACCCTTGCCTAGGAGACGGCCTGCATTTTGCTTGAAAGGAGGGCATTCTCCCCTTAAGAAACAAACCTGTGTCTCTCAGCATTGAGTTACTGATTGAGCTCTATTATCTCTGTACTTCCACTTTTAACTTTCTTGATAAGAAAAAGGTATTAATTACTATTTGTGTGTGTGTGTGTGTGTGTACATGTGTGTACGTGTGTGTGTGTGTGTGTGTGTGCAGGCTGGTGATGGGGGGGTAGAGTTCACATTTAATTTACTGGGAATTACCATCTTAAATCTTCCCAAACCACTATTGATTGTTCTATAGCGGTGTTTCTAAATTTGGAGTGGGAAATATATTTGCCTTAATTCTCCATTCTCTCTAATTTCAGGATGGCAAGCTTACCAAGGAGGAGATTGTTGACAAGTACGATTTATTTGTGGGCAGCCAGGCCACAGATTTTGGTGAGGCCTTAGTACGACATGATGAGTTCTGAGCTGCAGGCAGAGGAACCATGTTTCTTCAAAAATAATTTATTTTTACAGCTTCTGGTTTCACATGAAATTGTTTGCGCTACTGAGACTGTTATTACAAACTTTTTAAGACGTGAAAAAACATAACGAAAACCATCCTGTCCCCATTCCTTCTCCTTGCTGAGGGACTGGAGGGAAACTGTGCTTCTGAGGAACAACTAATTAGTCCACTTGTGTTTGTAGATTTCCACTTTGTATTATGTATAACATGGTGTTTATTTTTGTATTTGTTCTTTGGTTGGGAGTATGATGTCAAGGATCAAGATCCTCAACTCATAGGCAAACATTAGCCTTCACTCTTTCTCAACCCTTATCATGTAATTTTTATAATTCTGACTTAACTAATTTTTTAAGCCTGAGATCAATAAGAAATGTTTGGAAGAGAAGAAAAAGAAAAAATATACCCCACAGTTTATATTTAGAAAGATGATAATCTTGCCTATTGGAAAGTATATTTCATCAATAGTAGGGGCCATGTATTTTATTCCTTTGCTACAGGTTCAGCAACTAGCTCTGGCATTATCTGGGCAAGGACAGATCCCTGTACTGTAAGAAAGCTTGGCTCAACTTGATTCATTCATCCTTTTTCCCCCCCTTTAGGACTAGCTGTTTGCTAATTTTGTCAAGCACAGCTGTGGTAGGAAGAGTTGGGGCCAGCGTCCTGAAAATCAAGTAGTGAGTGTGATCTTTTTATAGAACTGGACATAGAAACAGCTGGAAAACTGAAGGAAAAATACAAGTGTTTTCAGGGCACACACTTTTTTTCTGGGTGTGCATCTGTTGAAGTGTTCGAAACTCTTGCCTATTGAATCACTGTAAGGGCCCTATTCTGCTCCTATTTCCCCAGATGTTCTGAGGAATTAATTTTGCTTTCACTGCGGTTAAAATGTGCTTCTTTCCAATCATGTCATTGAAAGTGCCTTTCATGAGAGAAACGATCACTGAATGAGGACTCTCTTAAGAAACCCTAAGACAAAATAAAGAGAAGATTATTTGGACCACCTTATATGTAAGCTTAGAGCCTCCCAGTATAGTGTGGGAATTTTTTTTTTTTTTCCTTCTCTTTCAGACAGTGGTTAAATAGCAGTATTAGTTAGGAGCTCGGTTGCAGTGTTTTTATTTTGTGAGCTGGTTTCCAAAAACCACATGCTGCTGAATTTACCAGGGATCCTCATACCTCAGAATGCTAACCACTTAACTACCAGGCCTTTTTCTGTGTCAGCTGGAGAGCTTGGGTTCAGACTCACCGGTGAGGGGCCTACAGAGTCTTTGGTTTGAGGACCATTGCTTACCCTTCTGCCTTTGACTTGTCATTTCCTATTCCCCCACCGCTCCCTCTCCCCACTGCCAAAATTAAAGTTTATCTTGGATCAACAGATTGCCAATCCTTATCAAAGAGAGAGACAATGTAGAAAGAGATAAAGAAACTGTCCTCTGTTCCCAACTCACTTTACCCCTATTTTACATAACACAAGCTCTGTCTTTGGTCCCTTTCTTACAGGTGGGCTTCTTTTGAGAGAATTTGTTGTATTCCAAGTTTTTAGCCCTCAGGTTACTAAGATAAATATATATATATATATAGCTAACCTTTATTATTTCATATATCTTTCTGAATAATATTCGGGTGGTGCTGGGTGATTATAACCTGAACATAGGTATATCCTTTGGTCTTCCATGATCATGTTAAGGTGGGCTACTTGGCCTGGTAAAAAGCCAGACATATGTAACTTCACCCCAGCTTCTGCATTGAGCTCTTGAGAGTGGATACACTCTTATAAGTTTAACCCCAGTATAGAGGGCATGGAAATTCTCTGCTCTCCAGATTCCCCATTTTTATTGTTAAGACCAGAGAGAACTAATAATTCCACCAGCCCTGGCTTAGTTAGAGTGCACGTGACCAGCAGGAGAGCCTCGCAGCTTCCTAGGGTCAGAGAACCCAGGCCTTATGTCAAAGTCACACTTAGAAAGCAAGCCTTCCCCTGCTGAGACAGCAACCTCTGGATGCTGGGTTGTTCAGCAAGCATCGTACTCTAATCTCTGATGGTCCCCTGGATTACTTTTTGTTGTTGTTTTAAATCAAGCCTGAGGCTGGTGGACAGTAGCTGCACACCCATATTGTGTGTCCTGTGAATGCTAGCTCTCTTCAATTTGGATGTTGGTTATTTTTTATAGAGTGTAAACCAAGTTTTATATTCTATAATGCAAACAGGTACCTATCTGTTTCTAAATAAAACTGTTTACATTCGTTGTGGGGTGTGTGTGGCCTTTATTCTCTTAAGAAATAGAAAGCTTACTCAGAATTATGAGTGCTATAAAACGTCACAGAAAAGGAACTCTCCTAGAAGGTTTACATACCCCTCAATCCAGAGAAGTTACTGCCACCTTCCAAACGGGTGACTTCTTTCCCTGAAGCCGAGCGTTCTCACTGCAGCTGGAATCCCCTTCCCCTGGGCCCCGGGACGCTCATTACATAATTATACCAGACACAAGTCATGCCTGGATGTACACACATTTATCTTGATTTTTATTTCAAAAGGGCTCTTTCAGAGGGTGGAGAAGGGGAGTATAAAATATAAAGTAAAACAGATTTTTAAAACATTTTGGTGTAGTTTATAACTGGTATCAGGATGTGTAATTTTATTTTGAGAACATAAACTGTTAGCGTTAGTAAATACACCTCATAAGACAGATACATAGGGTCAGCCAGACAGGAGGGGAAGGAAGGAGACACCCCGAACAGTTCGTCCGGCTCGGGCTGTGGCCGTGGCTGCTCCCGCCGGAGCTGCAGCAACGCATGTATGGCAAAGTCTCAAACTCATGTTTGGGGCCTACTGAAGGTTTTGTTTGTTTTTTTTTCTTTATGTCTCTCTCGTTTCTAAGGTGTTTTCTCGGAAAGTATTCTCTTAGAACAGATCCCCAGTAGGAAAAAAATGTTACTAAAAAGGAAGATAATTGTTATCCATACACTGAAAACTCAACCATACCCCTTTATAGTTAGTTGCCTTGTATGTAGCCATCACTTCTGCAAGTGCTGGGAATCTTGCCACTTAGGAGTAGAAAGGGGTGATGGCTGAAACGGCCTTGGATGTGTTCTGAGGTGGACCCAAGTGGAACAGGATGGAACAGGAGCTTTGTAGGTAGGAAGGGATAATAGGAAAACAGAAATTTGGTTCCCCAAATTGTCATCACTCCCCTTCTCATCTGTTTTCTGAGTTATTAGTGATTTGGTTTTTAGCAGAGAAAGTAGAAATTTCCTTAAATGTAAAATCATAGTTGCTGCAAATAGGCCAATGTGGTGCCTTAGTTGGGGCCAACTTGGCTAGAAGAGAGAGCAGAAACTTCCGTTTTCTGGGAGCTGGACAAGTCAGACTCATCTGTCATGGACTTCCTACACACCATCTCCATCATGCAAGCCCGGAACTGGAGGGAAAGAATGGGAGGGAGCCCCCTGGGCAGACCAGTGCAGAGGAGATAACATCAGGCAGTTTGGGGGGGAAGATCTCACTCCGCATCCTCAACGCCTGGAACAATGCCTTGTACCTAGAATCTCCTCCGGTGGTTTTGAGTATATCTTCCCAATCCTGAGACCATTCCAGTCCAGGGTTTCTCCCTTGTCTACAATAATCCTACACGGGGAGACCTCACTGTCGGGGAAACAAACTAGCCTGCCTCCTAGGAGCAATGTCAAGCAGCCTTAGAAAGGTGAGCAGGTCCACCCACCCACACTCCCCCATTCCTAAAAGGTCCTTCCAATGGGGAAAGATCTCACATTCATTTTGAATCCAGCTCGGAGTGAAGAAACAATTCTCAAAGCCGAGTGTTTGCCCTACAAGACAGGAAGGAGCTCCTAGATTCGTTGAAGTTGGTGTTTTAGCTCAGATTTGAGATTTGGGGGATAGGTCACCTGGTATCTTCAGATGATAAGCTGCTTTAGATTTCTACGCATGTGTTGTGGTTTCTGTGCTCACATGCTCCCGCAGGCCAGGAGTTGTGCGGGACAGGATAAGAATTTGTGAATTGGGAGGACTAGAATGTAAGGGAACTATTGATCTGTCAGTTTTTCAACAAAACAGAAAACCTTTTCACTTATCCTTTCCTTTGGAGCAACTTGACTTTTATGGCTCAAGTTCTGTCTTCCCTGGTTCTATGATCTTGTCTCAATGGCCACACCTTCCTCCCTGTGCTTACTAAGGGCTTCCCATGTTCACCCCCAACCCTTTGAGTGCAGTCTAAGGTACTCCGAGTTAAAAGTCACTGGTGAGGAGAACCAGGTCTTTTGGACTAGGGTCTCCCAGGAATGTAAATGAGGACTTTACCTGCTTATTCATGAAGCAGTAGATGATGGGGTTGTAGACACAAGCACTCTTGGAGAAGAAGGCAGGGATGGTGACAAGCCGCAGGTCTAGCCCGTGGTTACGGTTGTTGACCATATACATGGCCAGGGCAGCATAGGGCACGTAACAGAGACAAAAGGATCCCACCATCACCACCACCATGCGGCTCACCTCCTGCTCAGCCTTCTGGGTCGAGGCTGACTCCTGCTGTTGGGCTGCAACCTGGGAAGAGCACAGAAAAACATCACATTCTCTCCTCCCCGGCCCTCGACTCCCAGATCTCTGGATGATTTGTTTACCAGAGGGGCATCTGCTCCAATTGCCTCTCTTCTGCCCCAGGTTCTGGCCTGCTCCCTCCTTTAGGAAGGCAGGATGTGGGCAGCTGTCTGGTCTGTGACACTGGAAGGGATCACATGTCTTGATACCTATGACTCCACCTTATTCTTCATTCCATTTCATCATTCTCCTATCCCCACCTCCTTCATGGCTTTTAGATATTCCCTCTGCTTGTCTATGGAATTTCCCGATGTCTGATGTTCTAGAACACTCACCCACTCTTCCCTCTCACAGGGAGCCCCAACCCCTCCTCCCTGACCCTCACAAAAGCCACTCACAGCCCTGAGGGCCCCCAGCAGCTGAGAGTAGGAGAAGCAGATGAGGGAGAGAGGCACAATGAAGCAGAAGATGAAGAGGAACCAGGTATAGTACTCGCTGCGATATTTGGTGCCCACGGTGTACCAGTCGGGGCCACAGGAACATTGCAGGCCCTCGGGGATGAACCTGTAAGGGACCAACACTCACCCACTGGACAAGCACCTGCTCACTGTGGGGGCCACCACGTGAATGTGGAGTGGGAGCCCAGATTCCTGGATTGTGTTCTCCACGTGGACTCCAGAGGGTGCCCAATGACTGGGCAGGGGAGGTTTTTCTGTCCTCACAGAAAGGGTATAGCAATTAGGACTTGTCTCCCTCAGCCCTTTCTCTCACCTACTCCACCCGTTCTTTTGTTTTTGTTTTTCTTTCTTTTTACCACCAGTTCTTTCAAAAGTAGGTGTCAAAGATAAAAATGGTTATCGCCAACTCTTTCCACCCACACCAGCCTGAGCTCCTAGCTAAGGCAGCATCACTGCCCTGCACTCACCGGCTCCAGCCAAAGAAGGGTGGGATGGAGACTCCGATACCAATGGTCCAGGTGGCCAGGACCACCATCAGCGCATGCTTGGAGCTGAAGCGGAAGCTGCCGAAGGGCTTGCAGACAACGATGTAGCGCTCAAAGGCCAGGAAGGCCAGCGACCAGCCGGTTACCAGGCCTGTGGTGAAACACAAGGGTGATGGAGCAAGCAGCCCCCCAGCCTGGCAGGCGGAGTGGTTTACGGGGTGGGGCAAGCACTGAGAGAGGGGGTTGGACTGATGGCTGGAGTAGAGTTTGGGACTCGGGGGCTCAGATTTTTAGTCTGGGCTTTGTACTTCATTATGCAAATAGCAACAAACTCCTCTCGACTCCTTTTTTGGGATGCACTCCAGGCCAACAGCCTGGTCCCTGATTGCAATCCTAGTCCAGTGTCCTTTGCCGCCCTCCCCCACCCCTCCGCTGCATACCGGCTGTGGAGCCCAGGAAGGCTTCCAAAGCGCAGACGTGGCGGCCGAAGATGAAGTATCCCTGACAACTGGCAATAAAGACAGTGAAGACAGAGAAGATGCAGAAGAGGAAGCCCCCCAAGGACACATTGACCAAAATATAGTTGAGTGGCTGCCTCAACTTTTTGTAGCGCAGTGTGGCCACCAGGACTGTGGCATTGAGTGGTGTCCCTGCAAAGAAGACAAAGCCCATGAAGGCTGCCTGGAGGTGGAAGGCCCAGACAGGAGCAATGTGGTACTGAGGACCATCCCAAGGTCCCACCGAGGAGATGTTCTTGAACAGATAAAACTCCTCCTCCCCTGACATTTTGCTTATGGATGTCCCCCACCCCCTCTGATTCCTCTTATAGATTATCCTCCTCCCTCCACTTCTCCCCACCTCACCAAAGAACCCATCCTCCAAAGCCACTTTTGGGTTCTCTGAATGATCAGTGCTGATCCTAAGCCTCCTAAAGACAAAGTTTGGGATTAGAGACCCTCAAACCCCTACTAAACCTCCTTTTGCAGCCCCAAAGCCGATTACGTGTTCTTCAGGGGATAAAAGATTGGGCTCAAAGATTCTGGACTTGCAATACTGGGTGCTGGGATGAACAACAGGCAGTTCACGGGGGCCTGGGAGATGCTGACCCATATTTAATAAAGATGCTTCCACCACTTTTAAAAAAAATTTTTTTTAATTGATATTAGAGAGAGAGGGAGAGAAAAAGAGAGAGAAAGAGAACAAAACATTGGATCAGCTGCCTCCTGCATGCCCCCTCCCAGGGCTGAGCCAGCCCGGGCAACTGGCAACCTCCTGGCGCACAGGATGATGCCCAACCAACTGAGCCACACCAGCCAGGGTTTCCACCACTTTTTTATTTCCCCTTTGAAGGGTGCTCTCAAGGGCACCTGTCTCCATTTAGCTTCTGGCACCACTCCATCCCTATAGGTGTCTGCACCCAATCTGCCCCTTTGTGGAAGTTGCCCCTAAGTCTCCCTCTCCAGAGATTTGGGGTTCTCAACTAGCCTGGGAACCAGCCTCAGGCTGCAGGAAGGGACAGGGAACGGGGAATGTCCTGGGAGCATCCTAGTCGACAGCCTTCATGGAAGGGCACGGGGCAACGTGACAATGCCTAGAGTCTAAGGCATCCCGGGCTGCCCCTGTTTCTTCATGTTGGTTCTGCCCGGAGAGTATACCTTTCCTGCTCAGACCTCCCCGAGCCAGCTTGAGGTTGGTTGGCTCACTGTCCCTCTCACACCGTGTTCATGCCTGTCTCTGCCCTCAGCTCGGCAGTGCCCAGGCTGATCCAGTCTTATCTCCTGTCTGCTCATCCATGTCCTGCCAGCCTTGCCAGCCTTCACAGCCTAACTCGCCAAGATCCTTGCTGTGAAGCCCAGCCTGTGATGTCAGCTCTGCTGTCAGCTCCGCCTACACTTACATTCAACACTGCCCTTCAGCCCTATGGCTGCATCCTCTCCCCCAGCGCAGCAAGGCACAAATATATAGATCAGTTACACGTGAAAAGATGACCCAGTAATGGCAGAATAGTATGTATTAGATGAACCCCCCCAATAGGTAAAAATTATAAACTTTGGACAAAATATGAACAACAGTTACTTAAAAGCACTATAAAGCACCCAAAAGCAGGCACAAAAGGAAAGGACTCAACACTTGAATGAAAGGAACCATCTACACTTAAAATTTTTTCTTTCTTTATTGATTTTTAGAGAGAGGAAGGGAGAGAGAGAGATAGAAACATCGATTGGCCACCCCCTGCACGCCCCCCACTGGGGATCTGGCCCACAACTTGGGCATGTGCCCTGACCGGGAATTGAACCATCGACTTCTTGGTGCATGGGTCGATGCTCAACCACTGAACTACACTGGCCAGGCACCGTGTTTTTTAAAAAATTAATTTGAGAGAGAGAGAGAAACATTAATTTGTTGTTCTATTTATTTATGCATTCATTGGTTGCTTTTTGTATGTGCCCTCACCAGAGATTGAACCCACAACCTTGGCTTAATGGGACAAATGCCCTAACCAACTGAGCTACCTCCCACTAGGGCACTTTTTGCTGTGTTTTGATGTGCTGGGTGCGTGTGCGTGTGTGTTATGCTATGAACGAGTGATGTCCATAAGTCCTGTCCTCAACGGCCCTGCTCAGCTCGGGCAGACTCATGCCTAGGCTTCTTTTATGAAGTTGGTCCATCCTGTGTTTGGTCCTCCTCTTATCCTGGGTTTTGCCAGGGCAGCACTCCTGTCCCCAGCAGCCCACATCCATTTGGAAGTGTGTGCGTATGTTGGGGGTGGGAGGTGGAGGGTTATGACTAACACAATAGCAGAGGAAGGATTACTGGTATTTAGTGGGCAGAACCTTGCTCCAGACAGGCCACACAAAGAATGATCCTGCCTCAGACTCCAACAGCACCCCCAGAGGGAAGCACTGGCTGGGGCCCAACCCTGGTCTCAGCCCTGAAACATTCTCAGTAAAATCCCCCTAGGAGCCCTTGCTAGGAGCAACCTCACTCTCTGGCACACCCCCCAGGATGAACAATTTAGGGAATGTCTGCTGAGGCAATGGAACAACGCCTTGAATGTGCTTTTATTTATAAGCCACTTTAAAGTCGGGTAACGGCTACCCAAAAAAGACTCTTTGACTTTAGACTAGATGAGCTGTTGCCTTTCTCTCTGGTCCAGATACTCCTGGGTGGAGATAATGAAACTGGATTTCCTGGGTACAAAGGAATGCTGGCCAATCCATTATCTAAAGTGGGGCCATTCTTCCTGCTCCTCCTGGAGGGATTGGTTTACCAGGAAGCCTGCTTAACTGGTGGCTGGTGGGAGGGTTTCTTCAGGCCTGTGGTTCCTACTTGAAGCCACATGCTGAGGGTTCACCTGAATGTCTGTTGTCCTAGTGATTTTGTGTCTGCAAACTCCTGGCTTTTACTCAACATTTGCTAAGTGGTGTCTACAACAACAGGTGTACTGTGAGGATGAAATGTGCTTACACAAATGAAGTGCTTACACAACACCGAGCACAGAGAAACTTTTGGAAATCGTTTGCATTGTCAGCGGGACTGCCAAGTGCCCATCACAGGGCAGGACCTAAAGGCCATAGGACAAACCTCTGTCCCCTGGAGCTCCCAGCCTCACGGAGGACATTTCCCCTGGAAGCAAGCAAGGGTCCCTGGGGCGTGATGGAGGGGTACAGTGAAAGCACAAAGAGAGCCTGGCTATGCCCTGGCCAGTTTGGTTCAGCGGTTAGAGCGTGAGCCTGTGGTCCAGAGTCCCGGGTTCGGTTCCCGCTAAGGGGATGTACCTCGGTTGCAGTTTGTCCCCAGCCCTGGTTGGTTGTGCGAGAGGCAGCCACTCGATGTGTCCCTTTCATGTCAATGTTTCTCTATCTCTCTGTCTCTGTCTCTCTCTCTCTCTTTCTGTCTCTATTCCTTTCTCCCTCCCACTCTATCTGAACAAAAAATGTCCTTGGGTGAGGATAAAAAAAAAAAGAGCCTGGCCATCCCACAGGGTCCACAAGGTCCCACTCTCTGAGGCTGACCTCCCAGTCACTCTCCTCTGGGAAACTGTCAACTGAAGGACCCCACCTAGGCCATGTTTGGCCCATTAGCAGGGTTTTCCCTGCAGCCCCCATGGGCAGGAGGAGCAGCGGATGGAGGGAGGGAGGAAGGAAGGGTATTTACAGGATATACGTATTTCCATCTTTGGTTTTCCAGAAGTCTGGTAGCAGTGTGAACTGAATTTAAAACAGGCTTCTGATTCAAATAAATGTTCTTCTTCTAAGCTGAATTTAGTCAGGTTTCTTCTTTTTACCATGAGGATGACATCAATCTCACAAGGTTGTTAGAAAGTTAAATAAGATCTGCCCTGGCCAGTTTGGCTTAGTGGTTAGAACATTGGCCCGTGGACCAGAGAGTCAGGGTTTGAGTCCGGTCAACAGCATGTACCTTGGTTGTGGTTTGATCCCAGCCCTGGGTGGGATTGTGCGGGAGGCAACCAATCAGTGTGTCTCTCTCACACATCAATGTTTCTCTCTCCCTCTCTCCCTCCCTCCCTCCCATTCTATCTGAAAATCAATGGAAAAAATATCCCCAGGTGAGGATTAAAAAAAGAAAAGCTAAATAAGATCTGTAAAGCACAGAACACAGAGGGGCAGCTTTCCTATTGTGCATTTTCCCCTGCCCTCATGTTTTCATTGCAATAGCCTCTTTCCTCTGTACAGCGCTTTACAGTTTGCAAGTGTTTTCACAGATGTTATCTCATGGGATCCTCAGATTACTGTGTCAGAGAGACAGGGCAGGTGTTACTTCTCCAACTGACAGATGAAGAAACTAAATAACTTACCAAATTTCACCTAGTGAAGGCGATCCGGAAGAGCCTTCCGTGTCCACACCTAGGAGGCTCTTAGGTGTGGAGGATTTTGTTGGTGGCCTGATCATGAGGTAAGAAAGCAGCGTGGTTCTTCATGAGGTGCGGGAGATGTCGCACAGGCTCCTCAGCCCCGGGTCTGCCCAGAAAGTGGAGGCTGCTGAGCCTGGCTTCTTCTCTGCCCTTCCCCAGCAGCACCCCCAGGAACTCCACGTGGCAGCCCTGGGGGAGCCTGGCTGATCACCAGGATAGGGGCCCAGCCTGGAGTGCAGGGTTTCTGTGTAGCCCTGCAGTGGGACAGGGAGGAGCAGGAGAGAGCGAGGGGCGAGGCCTGGGGCGTGCAGCCAGCCTGGGCTGGGAGCCAGCCTGGAGGGAGAGAAGCCACCTCTAGAAATTGCAAACCACAGCTGAAGCTGATGTGGCAGGGAAGGCACATCTGGGAAGGGCTAGTTATAACAGGCTCGTTGGTCTAGGGGTATGATTCTCGCTTAGGGTGCGAGAGGTCCCGGGTTCAAATCCCGGACGAGCCCTGCTTTTCTTGAATTTTTTTCTTCTGCCACCTATCCCTCATGTCCCTTCCCCCTTCCCTGGCCCCTCCACCACACCCTGTACACTGTCTGCCCTTTCCAGAGTAGAAGCAAACAGATGGCCTAGCTCTCCATGTAAAACCCAAGCTATGAAATGCACAGGATTCAGAGTCCACAATTTAGGATTAAAGTTACAATTCTGAGTCTCAGTTTTCCTCTCAGTAAAATGGGAACAGTAATACTTATTTCTCAGAGTTGTTGGAGGATTAAGTCAGAAACTATGTGAAATGCCTTTGCAAACCATAATGCACTTTATAGAAATAGAGATCATTAGAAATAATAATGACAAAGAGAATCTAAAGGGGAACTTTTGGCAACACAGCAAACTGAATTAATGTAACTATCTCCTCACCCAGCATACCCTAGAACACACAGAGAAATTTGCATGGAATATAATTTAAAAATTAAAATATGGACAATTGCAAAAATTTATTTTAAAAAAGGAAACCCAGATATTAGAATTAAGGAAGGC